GGGAAAAAAACCCCCCAAAATGTTTAACTACCCCACCCCCACGTTTAAGGGCCTATAAACGTAAATACGCGTCCGGTGCCCCAGTGCGCAAAAATTACAATTGCGCTACACATGTTACATATCGCCGCGAACGTCGCAGTGAGAGCAATCATTTTAGGGCCATCAATCACTGATAACACTAAACTGATGAGCGGTAACAGCTTTTAAAGCGTCGCCTATGGCCAATTTTGGGTATTATCCCAAAACAGAGTGCTATGCAGTCACCCTTGTGTGTGCTAGTAAGCTACTTCCATGGCCCTTCTCCAAGCTAGTAGGTGAACAGTTGCAGAGTCTGCTTTGTCCCTTGTGATCTTTTACTGGACAGGAAGTTTAGGGAAGCCAAGCTAAGAGACTTGGAAGCAGCTGTTCAGAAACATGATAGTAGTGTTTGAGCAAAAATGTAAAGCTGGGCAATATATATTTGTTGGATCTGCTTTCATTATTGAAAAAAACGTTTAAGAGTTTAATACTACTTTAAGGTCTTTCACATATTTTCCTGTTTTTCTTTACCTTCTGTTGAAAAAATCATGTGCTTACAGAACTCTGTAGCTCAAGCTGAGATTTGCACACACAACTTAGTGAGTCAGACCAGTGGCTTATCCCCCTCACTCTCCCTTTATTCAGCCGGCTCTGTTTGCATTTTCAATCGGAGATCTAATATCCTGAATGGAGACAACTTCTCCTGTGCTCTTTCAGTAAACCATATTGCACTGGGAAGCCTTTGTTAAGACGTGGGTGTTGTCTCACTAAATTGATGATGGGGAAGACGGGCAGACTAAACTTATTGTTGGAGTATAGGAGACATAACAAGAGATGATCATTACATGTTTCTGATGGCACAAATTTATGACTGGTTTACTCTAATGTATTATACATTTCCTGTGGTCATTTAAGTGTGTGATGATTTAATAAAATCTCCTGTTTTTTTTCAGATTTTGAGGATGATGATATGTATGGGCAGTCTGTAGAAGATGACTATGGTATTTCACCAGCCACAGGTTTGTTTTTTGTTTGAACCATGCATTTGTCAATAAAAATCACACTTCTTTATTTTAGTAGGGTTATGTTTCAGCATTAGCAAATAGCATTATATTGCATAGAAAAAACCCTCTTCCTTGTCATGAATATAAATAAAAAAACTGCTATAGCCTCTAGCTAGCAGGAAAATAAAGGGTGCTTTACCTTTCCAGAGATTGCAGAGAATGGTGTTAAATCGCAAAGGTTTTTTTTTGCTGATTTCGGTCGTTATTTAATAGATATCATAAGCTATTTAGGTTTGTTCAATTCACCAAATGATTTAACGCTTGGAATCTCCACCAATTGACGTCTGTGTTTGCAGAAGTGATATTTGTATCATGTAACTCAATATTTAACGTTTCAATCCCTTTTTTAACAAGCCTAATCATTAAATATGTTCAGAAGTGCAATTCACAAACATTTTTTTGACCATTTATCGTCCATTATACAATTGTTACATAAGCACCTCCTTCAGAGTGTCGTTGACAGTTTTGAGGCGGTGTTTTCTTCTCTGAGAGGGAGATTTGTGGAACTGTTTGCCTGTGTTTTTATTAGATGTAATTATTATGATTATTATAAAACATATATATATATATATGTTCTATTTGAAGTTTGTGTGTGCGTGTATATGTGTGTGTGTATATGTGTGTATGTGTATAAATATAATAATAATTTTATTGTTTTAATTATATTATTATTTTTTTGGGAGTGTGGTTGTAACTTGTTAACTTTGTAACATGTAAACTTCAACAGTTTGAATAAAGTTGTTTACATACAACAGTGCAGTCTGTTGAAAACACGTCATTTATAGGCACTGTTCTCCCCTTCTGGCCCCAGAATGCATCAGTCAAACGTATTTTAACATGCTGTGAAATAGAAGCAGATAATTATCCGTCATGCCATACGATCAGGGAGGTATGAGATTGGCCCCAATGTATTCTGCAGCAGGACAACGACCCCATACATACAACAATGTCATTAAGAACTATCTGCAGTGTAAAGAAGAACAAGGAGTCGTGGAAGTGATGGTTTTGCCCCCACAGAGCCCTGATCTCAACATCGAGTCTGTCTGGGATTACATGAAAAGACAGAAGGATTTGAGGCAGCCACAGAAGATCTGTGGTTAGTTCTCTAAGATGTTTGGAACAACCTACCTGCCGAATTCCTTCACAAGTACCTTGTGTGCAAGTGTACGTAGAAGAATTGATGCTGTTTAGAAGGCAAAGGGCGATCACACCATATTTTGATTAAATCTCTTTTGCACTGTGTGTGTATGGATATATCTGTGGAATTTCTTGAATGCTAGGCACAGACTGCACACAGGGCCTTGCTTTTTCTCCAAGTGGGGAGTGACCCCGTCAGCGTGGGGTAGTAATGTGTAGGCAAAATCATAACTCCCTGGAATATACTTAACTGTTCTTGCAGCCCATGTCTTAAAATGCTTCTGCTTTGCTGCTTCCCGACCGGTATGCGCAGGGCTTGAAAAATGTTATGGTGTCTCACCAGTCTGTCAAAAATTTCACTAGTCAGTATGACCGGATTATATAGCCTTGAAATTTGTGTTAAAATTTTTTAGGGACACCTAGAGCTTTCTTTTGAAGGTATATAATCACCACTGGCAGTTTTAGATTTTTTACTATACAATGAAAAAAGTACCGTAAATTAAAAAAAAAAAATGTTTTCCCTACGTCACGTTAAAAAAACTATTGTATTCTTACCCATATTTTTGGTAAAATATAAAAGTTGGGGTCACGTCGTGTAAATAGACACCAAACATGCCAAGCCTTAAAATTGCACGCACCCGCAAAATCGCAAAAAACGACCACACCGAAAACTATTGCGCTCATTGTGCAGCGCACGTTACATATCATTCCGAACGTCGGAGCATGAACAATAATTTTAGGGCCATCAATCACTGAGAACACTAAACGGATGAGCAGTAAAAGCTTTTAAAGCGTCGCCTATGGTCAATTTTGAGTGTGGAAGTTTTTGTGATTTCATGGGTGTGTGCAATTGTAAGTGCAGCGCTGAATACTGAAAATGGCCTGGACAGGAAGGGGGTCTAAACACCTGGTCTTCAAGTGGTTAAGATAATAACATAATACATATATTATTTTTAAGACAAAAGAAGGCTTTCTTTTGGTTATATTGTCTTGCAAAAAATATTTTACTTTTTATCCTATCCCTAAATAAATAAACCTAACAAAACATTTTTTTTAACTTTGATTAGTGAGTTTAAAAAAAAGAGATGTTACTGTACATAAAAAGTATACATTTTATTCTATCATTTGTCTTGTTTAGGGTGACACTAAAATTAACATTCTGGTACAAAGCATGGGAAAGTTATTTGCAAAAAAAATAAATACTTTTTTAACTTTGCTTTTTTTTTATTGCAACATGAACAAAACAAAACAAAAAAGAATTATTAATGGTTACAAAAATAGAAATAAACCAAAACAGGAGGAAAAAGGAGGTCTATAGTGGGTTAGGATAATCTAAGTGGTAATAAATGGTGTATTAGGAATACATTTTATTTAATTTATATTTTTTTTTTTTCTCCAAGCTTGCTCCTGTGATGGACTACAATCTCACGTTTAGTGTACTAATTTGCATTGAAGTTATAGTCTTATCACGGGTGTGAGCTTGGAGCGTTGGCTACTTTACAACACACACAGGGACCATGGGGAACAAAAGTAGCCACTCTCCAGAAGGAAGGACAGTGTTGGCCCCAATTCAGAGATGATTTGAGGATCTACAGCCGAGTGATACACAATTAAGCAACATTTTAAATCTTAAAAATGCATTCAAGTACTTAATTCCTTTGTTTAGTGTCACTTTAACTAAATACAAAAGGAACAATAATATTTCCTTGTACATGTGTCGCACCTTAGCAGTGTTTTTAATCGCTGCCAGAAGGTCCCTTTTTTTTGTCCGTAGTATGTGTCAGTGAGGGAGAAGGAAAGGACTTGGTTGACACACCCTGTGTACAGCAATTAAGTTTTTTTTTGGACATTTGTAGCAAGTCCAGTGTCCTCAACTGGTTATTATAATAACATAGGCCTTGTTCACACCAAGCGCCGAGCAGGTGCAGAGCAGATCAGTTGCAGACCGGATCAAAACTGCGTCCAATGTATTCCAATGGTATTTTTTGCTCCAATTCACATCGCAGCGTGCAGTTCCAGAGCAGATCCAGAGCAGGTGAAAAGACTGCAGCAGGCCCTATTACCTGCTCCTGGATCTGCTCTGGAATGCATGAAAAATGCCTGGAACGCACAAAAGCCCATTTTAAACTTAATGTTTTTTTTTCTTTTTTACCAAAAAGAGCCCAAAACGCGTCAAAAACGCGTCTAAAAGACTAGCGTGCGTGTGCAGAAACCTGACCGGATCTGCTCTGCATTTGGTGTGAACAAGGCCTAAGGGTTATTATATTTTGCAGAAGCAGTTAAATGTTTTGGCACCATATTGAAAATGGACACACTGTGCTTGCAACAGTAATGTGTTTTGTTCAGTAAATTGGGATCACATTGCACATAATTGAATTGTTTCTTCTTTTTACAATGTCATATTATTAGCTGTAGTTTTCACAGATAAACTGTTTTCTTTCTTATCCTTTCCCTCATTAAATCATGATCAGTATAAAGCAGCATGACACCCAAATTACTGTACATGACTTGCTTGCTATTTTGCACTCCACTCTGGTAATTTCCCAAGAGCTGCAGGCATTCAGCTTGCACCTTTCCCCGAGTGACATGCGGCACATGTGTTCTTTGTAAGTGTTCTCTGAGCAGGTGTTCGGACACATTTTGGCTCGTTTAAAATGAACATTGATTGAAGTTTTTATAGAGATGCTCAGGTAAGACAATTGAAGAAATCCTTCAATTACGAAACATTACCTGGGATTTTTGCTGCCAGGCACTTGTTCTGCTTTTATATACCCTGCTTTTAATTTATTTACATTTTGTTAATTTATACCCTTGAGTATGAAAAATCTTTAGATTAACTTATTTGACCTGATAATGAAAGCTTTGTGTTGGAGCATTACTTCCCTTGATAAAAGCTACATGTTGACACTTGTCTGGATAAAATCTTTGACATTTGGCGTGGAGTTTGAGATGATGTTGTATCACTTGGCTTCCTTCTCGTAGCTCTATGTCTACAACTGTCCTCAAACAAGAGGTCATTGTTATAGTATGTTGAAATATGTAACATTTTTCAGCTCATAGTTTCTAAGGAAATACTGGAATTTTATTCTTGGATGGTGTCACTGGCTAATATTTGTTTCCTTACACCACATTTTTACTCTATCCCCTTCCATCCAGCATTGGTGGAAGTGAGAACTGTGGCTTCAATGGGGAGGATGTTACCTGACCTCGCCTTTCAAAATAAGTCAGGTTGAATGTGCTTCTGGTGAGACAACCAGTGGTTGTGCTGCCTGGGCAAGAGTGCCTGGATCACAAGAGTGACTGCACAGAATTGCAAATCATATTGGCAGGTAGAATAGTTCCTGTAATTGTTGACCTATTAAGTTTCAAAACAGATTAAATCTTGTTTATTTAAATTTGTCATCTGAGCAAGAGCTGTATTGGCTTTGAAGAGAAAATAACAAGGGTAGGGTGTCAGCAGAGCCGTGACTGATTAAATGGCTGTTTATTTATCTTGTCCTGTGCTGTCAATCCTTCCATCCCCATCTTTATTTTGTTTAGCAAGTTTTTCCACTCCAGTAAGAGTGGAATTGGGGTACCTAGTGTGTCTGGTAGTTGTCGGGGCATGTTATGTTCTGCTGTTGACGGTGAAAATGGATCTTGGAAAGAGAGCAATCTGGTGTTTCTCTGACCACCTGAGAGAGACCTTTTACATAAGCCTTGAAGACCTTGACTTAGAAGGGTCTGGTCAGTAGAAATGTGCAGGTGGTAGCCTCTTTCTTAAGCTGGCCATACACCTTACAACCATCGCACGACTTTTGTTGTGTGATGGCTGTAAGGTCATTAAAATTCCGTATGACTTGCCCATCTTGGACAGGCAGATCGTACTTGCGATTATCGCAAGCCCTCCCCGCTGAGGGGAGGGCTTGGCGATGATTGCAGTGCTGAGCGGGCAGTGTGCGCTTGAGCACACCAGCCCGTGCGGCTTTTGTCTTCTGAGCACGCTACCAACCAGCGGAAAATCGTCCGGTTTTCCAGCGCGCTAGGAAGACGAAAGTGGTGCGACCGTACAGTAGATGCGGTCGCATGCTGCCCATACACCTGCCAATTATCGTAGGTAATCGGCATGTCTCACTGGCATATTACAAGTCTCATTTTATCTTTCTTCTATTTACCTCTTTCTAGATGAGGCACAAGTATATCACTTGTATTTATTGCCCAGCATTGTAATTTACAAAAAAAAATATTCCAGCTTTAATGAACCAAAGCAAAGCAGCATGTGATGCTGATTGATGAGAACAATGCGCATACAGATCAGTTTACTGATATGTTCATCAATCATGTCCATACCTATATACTTTTAGGAGGGTCAAGAATATATTTAATTGTGGACATATCTGGCCTAATTCTTTTAGTAAAGACAGTAGTTATAATTGGATCTTACTGGAAACTTCTACTCTGAGACAAATATTGGAGGCTGCCAACGCTGACCTCCATCTGAAAATGCTAGTTGCCCGACTGTCATGTTGATTTGTTGGCTTTTGTGCTCTGAACAAGTATTAAGATCAGGAGGTCTGATTTCAGTCCCACTTCAGTGGTTTTAGTTCTGTGACTTTAAAAAAAAAAATGTTTTGGATAAGGTGGGAAACCCTCTATCTAGATTTTATTGTTGTCTGTGTCCCCATTGGGGAAATTCGCCTCCTATTTGTACTGGTGACCATAGTCACCAAGAAAGAAAATGATTGGAAATCCAAAATGTTAACGTTTTCAAAACAAAAAGTGAGGGGACATTTTCTAATGGGGACTCCTATTGCAGGGACAATTGTCTCAGAGGGGAAGTCCCTTCACTTTGGGAGATTATTTTTAACCTCCTGTTGTGTCTCTGGGACAGGAAGTGAAAGGAAATGTCCCCAATGGTATACAGACAGCAAGAAGTGCAGGCACCTTCTGCACATTTCTAGTCAAGTTTCTAGAATCTGATGTGAGCATAAGTACTTCATATGTTGCAGTGGTACAAGCGTATGTTGTGTGACAGGTCTTGTGAATTGAACCATTTATGGGGACGCCTTGAATCTGTATGAAAAGTGAGGTGGTAAGGATTCAAACTCTTTTCATTAAGGAACCATCTTTGCTTGCTGTATCACTAATCAGGTTTTAGGTTCAAGGCAGGTTTCAGGCTGGTTTCTGGCAGTAATAAACATCCTAAACTGACACTTTGATGCATCAGACTTTCTATATGTGAGAGACATCCTGCAGTGGATATATTTGGGAATAACATTTCTGCACTAGAGAGCTATTGTAAGGCTGCCCATACACCTTGCGATCATCGGACAAAACTTTTCATCCGATGATCGAACTGTCGCACCATTTTGTATGGCGGCCCCATCCTGCCCCGATTATCGCCAGGTTGGATCAGCAGTATTTAAAAGAAAGCACCTGGACGAATTGTGGTAATAGACTGCGCGTATTTTCGTCTGTGCATTTGCAGTGTAAATCGTACGAATTTTGACGTACGGAAACGCCACCAACCTTAAGAAAATCGTACGATCGACCAAAGTTTTCTAACCTGCTGGTTAGTCTAAGTCGATCGATTGTACAGTATTTGCGGTTGTACGCTGCCCATCAACCTTACGAATATCGGACGAAAACGCGATTGCATAGCAAAATCGGCCAATATTCGTAAGGTGTATGGGCACCTTTTTAGAGGTGGCTCTCGGTGCACTGGGGTTCTACAGTAGGGTCTGGATGAAAACTGAATCCATGAGCAGGTACTGTAGGCTGTACTATTTGAAAGCATCTTAAGTCTTAAAGTAAAACTCTAGGCAAATAGATAAATACACTGTTAAAGGTAATTCCCTTAATTCTGTTTTATTTAGTCTTTTGGTTCACACTGCACTGTCAGGGAGCTTGTCCTCTTGCTTCCTGGTTTATCTGTACTGCTCCTGGGTAGCCTTCATACTCATTGATCAGAGGAAATGATGTTTATTCATTGTCCAATGAGCAGGTTGACGGATGATCTTGAGACTGCGTGCTGACCAAAGAAATAAGTGTGTCACATGGCAGCAGTGTGTGAATCACTAGACCTGGCTGAACAGAAATACAAATCCTTTGGTAGGTCAAACACTTCAGGCATACGTATATAAACTGTTTATGTAGTTGTTTGCTTGGAGTTCACTTCAGTTTCAATCTTGGCTGGAGCAGACCTTTAGCCCACATTCAACAGAGCATTTAAATGGCCGCTAGGCAGGTGTGATTTTTAGTATGGACCTTGTTTTGTGTGTCACGGAAGAATAACTTTACTGTGGCTTTATGATAGTTGTATAGGATTTAAGATTTGGAAGTGTTAATCCCTTGGCATTTTATGTGCATATCTTGAAGCTAGCTGTATTTTGTCAGTTAAGTGAAACCTGAGTTTATATAGAAACCATATTCATGAGGGAAAAGGGAGAATGGGAAGCAATGGCAAAAGACACTTCAGGAAAAGGGTGAAGATGTGTAACAAAATATCCACAAACGCAGATATAATAATATCACAAAGCCCCTAAAAGTAAAGTAAAAAATAAAAATATTTAATAAAAATGAATAAATAAAAATAAATAAAAAGTTTATAAAAAATAGAAAAAAAATATTTGAAAAAGCTACAAGCACTATTTTGATCGCACCACACAGGATCGGACCGCAGGAACAATGTGCCTTGTGATCCCGTGCGCGGATCGCAATGCGGCCGGAGGGCGTGTCTACGGCGCCATTCACTTGAATGGCCCGCCAAGCCCCACTAAAAAGTGAGCCGGCCACAATGCGAGGCAGTGCGTTCTGGCCAAAATTGGGCCGGAACGCTGCATCTAGTGTGACTGAGCCCTTAGTGTTGCATACATTCCTCCACCAGATAGACAACTGTTATTGCAGTGGGAATTAAACCTGCTGTTGTCAATGTTACAAAAACTGCCTTTCATTGCTAACCCTCCTAGAAAGTGGTGTTCCTGGTACCATTGGGATTTCCACCATCAAGCATCAGTTTCCTAGGTTTGCAAGGCAGAGCCACTTGATTGTCAGTTTACATGTTCACCAAGTTTTTTCCCAGATGAATGCAAAGATGTGGGTTTGGAGTTTCCTGAGTACAAGGGCTGGGACTGCTACTGGCAGGACTCTAAATAGATACAAGATCTTGGGCAAGAGAGTCATCTTGACCGCTGCAACTCTACCTAGCCAGGATAAGTGGTATTGGGACCACGTTTTTAACATGGCCGACAATTTCGCTAGCATGTCCTGGAAGTGATGGTCTGTCTTATGGTACTCACCCAGCCTAGATGTAGGGCGAGCTGTAGATGTCATCTTTTTCACCATCGTTCCGCCCGATTCAGGGTTAGACATCCGGACCAAAGAGGAGAAAGAGAAGAGGGAAAAGGAGGGGAGACAAAGGGGGAAGGAGGTCACGAGACAAAACACAGAAGACAACACAACACACACAAGAACAGTTTGTGGGTAAAAACCACGACATGCTCGGAACATTGGGTGGAAGAAAACAAAACGCCTCATTCCACTCAAGGTATCCAAGGTGTGGGGAGTGCAGTGACGCACTCACCCAGGCAAAGTTATAAATGGAACTTTGTGGATCGGAAATCCACCCGGACCCTTAACTCTTCAACGGGACAATAAATCCGGAACTTAAAAGGGCTGTCTGAGATCTTTTGCGGGACCTGTCTCCCTCATGTATGTCTAATTCCCCTTCATCCATGTCACTACTGGTCACTGAGGCTGTACGGGTTACCTCATGAGAACGAGCCGCGGGCGCCATCTTGGCTGCAGCTCTAGCCATCGCTTCTGTGATGGGCTGCTGTTTCCCCTTCTGTGAGGACTTGGGGGTCGAGGACGACATGGTCCGGTGCAGGAAGGATTCCGGTTGTCGGCTGGGGCAAAGTGGCGGGTGTGGAGGGTGAATCTCCGGGCTATGGACGGGATTGCCTGGGTGAGTTGCGGAGCCGTCTCAGAAGGCTACCTTCGTCATCAGCCGCGCGCATGCGCCCCCCGTTCACCAAGTTTTATAAGTTGGATGTGGCAGAATCAACTGATGCCAGTTTTGGGTGTAAAGGTCTTGCAATGGATACAGCATAGTCAAACATCCAACTGCATAATCTTTACACCCAAAACTGGCATTAGCTGGGGGGCTGCCCTCCGGGCTGTCTTTTGTGTTTAACTAGACCTAGTGTCCTACTCCTTGAATGCAGAAAAAAGGAAAATCTCCTTTAGTTAGCTTAATCTGCTGTAATTTGTACTTCAGTTCCAAACACACATGTACGTCGAATATCATGGCATTAAGGCAAATTCTTTTTTGGCTCTGACCCACTTAATGTTAACTGCATATATAAGTTTGCTCTGTTTTTTGTTTGCAGCTGCTCAGTTCATATATTCTAAGCGTAACAGACACTCAAGCTTTACTGGGCCTTTGGAAGAGGAGGCGGAGTGTGAAGATGAAGAACTGGAAAAATCAAGGGCTTCAAATATTGCTTTGAGTTCGGTTGATCAAGGTAACATTATTACTAAGGCTTTGTTTTATATATGTGAGGCTTGTTTTCTAGAACCTGTTCTACATATTTGAAAATAGGGGATTCGGCAACAACTTCCATACTTGATGCGATCAGCATATTGCAAACCCCAGGACAGTCAGTTATCACCACAAATTATGTTTACTTGCTGACGATCTCATCCTGCTGACAAACTCATCCTTTTTATGATAAATCGCACCATCTGTCCGTCAAATTTGTACATCTTTTCACAGCAAATTGCCTTAATTTCTGGACTCCATGTAAACACCTTCATATTTCCCTTTTGCCGCAACCTACATGACATGTAAAATTAAAAATATATATAAAAAACAACTTTAGCTTCTGCTCAAACAATTTACTATACTTACAGATCAATTTAACAGTCTCCTATGACTCTCTTCCAAGCCAGCTACCTAGCTCTTTTCCTTTACATACAAAGCCTTCTTACAGAGTAAAACACAACCTCATTTCATGGTTTAAACAGATAGCAGTGGTTACAATATCCATCCTCCCCAAATTTGTTAATTTTTTTTGTACACTACCTGTCAATATTCTACCACATACTCCCTATTATAAACACATTTTCTCACTTTCATCTGGGGCTCACCTAAGCTCAGGGTAGCCCAACAAATACTCTACCACAGCATACTTAAGGTTTAGGAGACCTACATCTAGCAAGCTATTTTAACGCTGTTCAAATTCCTTAAAGGACATTACATTAAACTTTACATTACATTAGCCTTGTGGCTTCGCCTGGAAGCCTATCTATGTCCTCTATTATTGTACCATATTTTGTGCCCTCTCGCCAGCACTGAGAAAGAACCACCATAGTCTCATTACTATTTACTGTTTGAAAATTTGGTAAACCTTTCCCCCTTTTTTTTTATTTTTTATCCTCCCTCACAATTTCCTCCTTTCCCTCAATTCTCATGTTCCTTACCATGTACTTTTATTCTCCCTCCGTGCTCAGCCCTTAACACCCCCACCCCCCTTCCCAATCCCATTCCCCCTTTTTCTTCCTTTTATCCCCAATTAAAGTGATAAAGGACAGAGGATGGGGTGGTGAAACAGTACAACGGCCATTATTGTGTATTGGCAGAGAAGAAGAGTGAATAGGAGTAGGATGCAGTAGGACATAAATATAAAAGGTAACTACAGAGGGATTGTGCAGCAGCCATCTGACAGCGTGAGGGTCTGAAGAAATCACTGAAAGAGCAGTAAAAGGGGGAGTTATAGCTGAACTAGAAGGTCATCAGAAAGTGTTCTTGTAATGAACCAATAAGTCAGTGCAAAACTTTGTGTCTGGTTGTTTTTGTTGTTTTTGTTTGGTCAAGGGCGATAACATATATCAATAAACGATTCCCATACCTCAAAAATGTTTTATGTCTGTGTTTCCTTCTATAAGGTCATCTTACTGCAGTACATTTAAAAGATAAACATTAATTGATGCAGAAAAAAAGAGTGGTGGTGGTTTAACATTTGTGAAAGTTTACTTATTTTGCTGCCAAGGATCTGATGGATAACCGCTTTTTACTGTCCATAGTGATTTTAGCACCCTGTAAATCGAGTGTACCAAAAATTGCACCTTCAAGATTTATAGGAAGGTAATTCACCAGATGTTCTGTGGCATATTGGGTAGTAACTCTCCAGAAATGTTTAAAATTTGGACAATCCCAGAAAGCATGGAATAAATTTGCATAGCTGTGGCCACATTCAAAACATTTAGGTGATTGACTTAGTACTAAAGGTTAAGACCTGTGTGGATGTACTGTTTATGCTCTCTGTGTACATGATGTTTAGCATTCTTTCCTTGTAGGTTGATACAGTAATGGAACGTTACGCTGTGCTGAGGGAGTCGGGAATATCTGTTGTAGATTTTGTTGGGAAACACTGAGTCATTTTTTAGTGTTTTTATAGTCTAAATGCATTCTGTAGCAAGAATACATACACAGTATGGCTCATTTAGGTGAATTGGGTTCTGGTTAAATTTGATCAAGAGGATTTAACCACTTCAAGACCAGGTGTTTAGACCCCCTTCCTGGCCAGGCCATTTTTCAGTGTTCAGCGCTGCGGTACTTTGACGTTTATTCCGTCATGCAACACTGTACTGAAATTAATTTTATACAATTTTTTTGGGTACAGATAGAGCTTTATTTTGGTGGTATTTATTCACCACTGGGGTTTTATTTTTTACTGTAATAAGGAAAAATTATTGAAATTTTTTTAAAAAAAGTAATTTTTTTCATTATAGTAGGAAACAATGATTATTACCCATATTTTGGTAAAATATATAAAAGACGGGGTCACGTCGGGTAAATAGACACCAAACATGTCAAGCTTTAAAATTGCACGCACCCGCGAAATCGCAAAAAACTACCATACCCAAAATTGACCATAGTCGACGCTTTAAAAGCTTTTACAGCTCATCAGTTTAGTGTTATCAGTGATTGATGGCCCTAGAACTATTGCTCTCATTCCGACGTTCGTGACGATATGTAACATGTGCGGTGTAATGGCGAAATCGTCGTCTTCACACGTATGCGCACCCGATGCCTGTTTGCATGCGTGTATGTATGGGTGGGCACTTTAAAAAAATAAATAAAACAAATGTAATTCTTTTTTATTTGTAACTTTACATTTTTGGGGGGGAAACTTAAATGTTTTTTTCCCCTATTTCTTTTCCACTTAACTTCATTGCTATCACATAGGGGGCTAAGAAAACCCCCTTATGTGATCACAAAATATGTGACAGGTCCTCTTTATGGAGACATCAGGGGTCTCCAAGACCCCTAATGTCACCTAGGACCCCGCAGAAGAAGCTGATGAAACAGAGCTCTGCTTCATCAGATTCTCTCCAGCATCTGAAGCTGGAGAGTGACACAAGAATGCGGAAGTGATGTAATATACATTACTTCCGCATTCTGACAGTGGAGAGTGGACTGGAGGGAGGCCGTGTACCGACCTCCCTCTGATCCGCTGTGACAGAGGCAGTATGCTGGTCCCGGGCTCGCACCGGCCCCCTCAGATCTAGAGAGCTCCTGGCCGGCCGTTTTTTTACAACGGCCGGCCGGGAAGTGGTTAACTAATCGGTTGGTTATAGGGTTTTGAAGATGCCGGAGACCTAAGAGCACAATAAAATGTAAAGCATTCAGAGTTTAAAATTGTATAGGCTTCTCATGCAGCTTTGAATGTGTGATCATTGGTGGAGGTATTTGAGAGGAATTTCACATCCGTGAGCCATTGATTTTGCCAGTCCTTAGATACTTTGTTTCTAAAGGCATAGTGAAAGCCAGTGTTTCTTCTGAATTCTTCAAGTAGTCCAGCATGAGCATAGAAAAGTGGGTAGAAGATCTTTATTCATATGTATTATACAGTATAGTAGATTCAAGTCCAGTGTATTATTTTGGTCTAGATGAGAGTGTGCATAGTAATTGGTACTATTAATGCAGTCACAAAGGTATCTGGCAATTGCTGCCAAGTTTTTGAGTTCCAGGTAAGGGAAGTTAAGGTCTCCATCTCTTGTTGGTTATTGCAATATGGGGAGACTAATTGTGGCTTGTCTTTAGGAGTGTGTCTATGGGAATGTTTGACCATTCTTCCAGAAGCACACATTCATCGGATTGCCAGACAGAGAAGCGTGATTCGTCATTCCAGAGAACACGTCTCCACTTCTCTAGAGTCCAGTGTCGTTGTGCTTTACACCACTGCATCCAACACTTTGCATTGCACTTGTTGATGTAAGGCTTGGATGCAGCTACTCGGCCATGGAAACCCATTCTATGAAGCTCTCTACGCACTGTTTGTTGTGCCAATTTGAAGGCGACACAAAGTTTGGAGGTCTGTAGCTATTGACTCTGCAGACAGTTGGCGACTTCTGCGCACTGTGCGCTTCAGCATGCTCTGACATTTTACATGGCCTACCACTTTGTGGCTGAGTTGCTGTTGTTCCCAGTTGCTTCCACTTTGTTATAATACCACTAACAGGTGACCGTGGAATTTAGTAGCAAGGAAATTTCACGGATGGACTTGTTGCACAGATGGCAACCTATCACAGTACCACGCTTGAATTTACTGAGCTCCAGAGAGCGACCCATTCTTTCACAAATGTTTGTAGAAGGGGTCTGCATGCCTAGGTGCTTGATGTTATACACCTGTAGTCATGGAGGTGATTGGAAAACCTGAATCCAATGATTTGGAGGGGTGTCCCAATACGTTTTGCAATATAGTGTATGTTCAAGCTTTTAGAGTTAAAGGGATTCCGGCTATTTAGAGCAATGGAGACTTCTGGTGGTGGAGCCACAGCAAATGGAAACATTTCAGCAGGGCTCTGTGTAACCCAGCTCAGATTCAGGTACGATGTGTTTATCCACTTGGTTCAAGCACCTGGGTGGTGGAGTTTGTGTAAAGTGAAGATTCTGTATTGTATGTAGGCACCTTTTTAACTTATAAAACTCAGATTACTTGTTACCATGATTTTCAGTTATACAGTTTAATAAAATACAAAATGTGAACATTAACACAACGGTTTCTATACTTTCCTGTAAATATTGAGAGAAACCACTAAAATGTGTTTTTTTTTTTTTTCTTTTTTCTCCCATTTTACATATCCTTGGGTTTTGTATAAAATATGTTATTTTTGTATGTTTTAGCTCGTTTATACTCATCCCTGGAGCACATGAGAGAAGTCCTTGGAGAGTCTGTTTCAGAGCAAGTTATGATTGATGCGGTATTGAAATGTCAGTTCGATGCCACCAAGGCCCTCGATCTTTTGTTCAAACAGGACTGCAACACAAGCGCCAAGCCTTTGAGCCAAGACTTGCCCTCTACTGGGATACCAGCAAAAGGTAGTTTTTCTTTTTTTTTTTTTTTCAATTAAGAGATCACTAGATCAGGCCTGTACAAAATCTCACCCAGTAGTAGAAGCCAAATTTAAAAACCTAAGAGTCAGCACTATGCAATTTGCATATGATTATAAAGGTAGCTGAAATATACATATTTAAGCAACAGTTAAAGTTAAAACAGGAACACAATACATCACTTACATGGGGCACACCGGTGTGTGATGATGTGGGGGGCACAAGAATTGATGTGGGGGTCAGTGTAATGATATCTAGGAGGGCACAGGGCATATGTGATGATATAAAGAGGGGCTCAGGGGGATGTGAAGATGAGAGGGCGAAATAATAGGTATGTTCAAAATAGTGCTCTGGATAATAATCCTTGTTCAGCCACTAAATTCTCCCAGCTTCCACTATGAATATTTTTTTGAGGGTTTTAAGAAATATTTAGGCTTAAATTGTGCATTTTTGCTTGTGTGCAAACATGAAGTGCTCCATAACGCCCTCTGGCTCTAAGTCTAACTTAATCCTTAATCATTCACTAATCACCTGAACCCTCTGGCTCATTTTTATGGGCTGATACTAGCCTTGGCACACATGCAAGTTTTAACTGTGTGGCACCGAAATTGAGGCACCCTAAATTGTATTTGCAGGTTTAAGGCTTATACATGCACATAAATAGCTTTAGTTTAGGGTGACAAACCTGTTTCTTCTTTGGCAGAGTATATGATACTAATAAAGTAACATGCTGCTAGAGATGGTTGGTAATTGTCACTTTTTAAGCAACTGTCATTTACATTACATAATGTTGATATTGGTGCTCCCCAGGCTTTTGAGCTGCTGGTGAGCTCTACATGGTATCTGAACATGTTTGCTGATTCTGTATGTCTTCTATGCCTGGACACAGTTTAGGACAATTAGAATAAACATAAGATTCACTTTAGAGCAGTTAAATTGGATGTAAATGCAAACTTATTTTATTTAAGTTTTGAATAGAGTGGGGGAAGGATTAGGTTAACTTTCAATGAAAACAATTATTTTTTGTTTTTTCTTTCTGTGCCCCTGCTTGGGGCATTCACCCCTCTATTTGCCCTGGTTGACCATTGTCACAAAAACAGAAAGTGAGTGGAAATGTACATTTTAAGGTTGTCACCAGAGCAACAAATGAGGGGAAATCATCCAATGGAGACAAATGTTTTGGTGATATCTGTCAAAGATGGGTATTCCCCTCACTTTGGTGAGATTCCTTTCTTCTCCAGTTGTGTCTTCAGGGCAGGAAATGAAAGGAAATCTCTAATGATGCACAAATCACAAAAAAAAAAACAACAGATTGAGTTCGAACCCTCCTGTAGTCTTAAACTGAATGTTTAGTCTCTGCATAATCACTGAACCACTGTATGTAGTAATGTATTAATGACAGGTTAGGTTCAAAGCTTAAATCCACAAATGCCTCGTATAATTTTGAAGTCTTGTTTTAGATTAAATGCATCACAAGTTTTGTTGTGATATTTAGCAAATAAATGCCTTTTTGTTTTCTTTTTCCTTTGTCTTCTATGTGCTGTTGAATTTGTGCCTGGACCCTTTGTTTTGACCTTTTTTTTATCATGAAAAATGTTGGCCATCGTAAGGTAAGAAGCCATATATTCTTCTAACTACAGCTTATCTAATGACCAAGTTTTATGTTATCCTGCCCAGCACAATTCACAATATACTGAGAGTTCAGAGTCCAACAATTTTGCCACAGTGAGAAAACAATCAGAAACTATCCTAGACCCGACAGGCAATGGAAAGCAAAGTCTACCTTCTGGCTTTCCTCTTTGTCTGTCTTTATCTGCCCTGATAAATGAAAGTTCACATTCAAAACTTAGTAGTTCAAAACCTGCTGCTTTGTCTGAAATGAGTCTGTCTGATTTACTTTCACATCCATACAACTCAGAGGGCTCAGGTCTGGCAGCAACTAAAGCTCTCGAAATATCCACATCCTATAAAGATACAGTTGAGATTCCAAATTTAAAGGAATTACAGTTAGACCATTTAAAAAGTGGACCTGTAAAGGCATCAGATCATACAGATCCTGTTAACTGTGAATCTATGGACAGTTTCCAAGCATCTTTTGTTCCAAAACGCCTTCCACCAGAAAATCATGTCTTAAACGAACAGATGAATTTATTTGGCAGTCTAAGTTCAGTTTTACATTCTGAGGATAGCATGTCTTCTGATGGAGAAAATTTGTCTGTTCCTAAATTTGGAAGTCCATCACTGGCAGATCTGATCCTGGAGCATAAAGAGAGAAATGTTCTTCAAGACCTTTGTATTGAAACTCCGCAGAAAAATGCTGGTGTAGAATTGCAGGCTAGCTCTCTGTTACCTTTCTCTCAGTTGTCAGGTCTGTGTAATACATTAAGTGATGTCCCATCATTGACAACATCCTTGTCATCGCTAGCTGTTACTCAGCCAACTGCTGTTGCGGGGCCACAGATTTCTCTGTCTGATCTAATTGCAGACGTTGACAAACCTGTTCTTGATGTCCTTAATGTGTTTCCTTTGCCTTTGGCTGAAACAGATACAAATATCGATCTCCGCTCTCTCATTAGTAAACCTGTTGACACTTATCCTCATAGTGTTAATGCAAAGTCAGTATCTTCAAAACCTCTAGAATCAAAACATTCAACATTCAGATATCCTTACACCCAAAAAGTGTGTAAGAATTGTAAAAAACCTACCCCTCGGGTAAAGACTTTAAAAGCCAGACCTTCTGCATTTGCTTTAAGTTTATGTTTTACATACATTCCAAAACCATGCAGGAACACTGTCTTAATGCTTCATCAGGACCATGAATGCAATTCATCAGCAGTAATTGGTGACATGGGTCACCCAGCACTGATCCCTTTTGATTTTCAAACCCCTTCCCCTGATGACATTGTGAAAGAGAGCCAAAAAAAGGCTTTTGCGAGATAAAGCAAGCAATTTTTTTTCCAAGCTGTTGTTTTTTTTTTGTTTTTTTTTACTTCACTGTTGCTATACATTTTTACCTTTGGGAGTTTGTGATTTTATATACAGTTTTCCTAAAAGGAGGGATATATCTACTCTACATTTTACAAAGTATTTTTATTTTTGTATTTCATCATTTTTCAGCAGGGATTTTTAAGTGCTGCTTTTAGATATTCAATCTGTATAGGTTTGCTGGATCATTAGGTGCTTCATGGTATTTTGGACACAACTCATAAAAGAGAGGGATATGCGCTGACTGAACTCTGCTACACAAGCATATTTTTCCCCAGACTTTCTTCATAAATGATCTCAGCTCTTGTTAAACCAGCAGTTTTACTGATGAAGAATTTTGTGAACATATGCTTGTCTTCTAATTTCATTATTGATATTTACTTTTTACTGAATGGTCGTGTTTGTTTGAAATAAAATCTTTTTAATTCAAGAGCACATTAATAGCATTTTAACAAATTGCCCTCCTAAGTACCGTCTTTAATAGAGGTTGCTTGAATGATAAAATACTTTGACCTAACCTTTTTTTTCTTTTCTTTGGGCAATAGAACTGTTTTGATTTAGTGTAGATTTATTTTTCAAATGACTTTCTCTTTTCAAAGATTTAGCCATTAGTAATGCAAGTTAAAGCTGAACTCCAAGCAAATGGCATAACACACATGCAAAATACTTTATGTGAACTTCCTTACTTGCCAAAGTTGCTGTATTTCTGTTTATCCAGGTCTGAGATTTACACAGAGCAGTCAGCTTAGTGACCTGACATTTACCTGCTGCAGCTAAGGTACACAGCAAGGTCAGTTTCTTTTCACCAGCCTGTGGTTTGACAATGAAGGAGCAGCTCAAAATTGATGAGGTTATCTCTTTGCTCTTTCTTCCTACCTCCACATTCCTTGTTGGCACATATGCATTTAGCTTACCTTAACTGGCTCTTAGGCTCCATTCACACAGTTAGTGTTTTTGCATATATGAGCGCGTTTTGTCCAGCATTTCATCTAACGTGTTTAGCATGTTTTTGGCAAATTTTTGCACGCTTTAGTTGCACGAGCATTAAAACGCCGTTTTTGCAAGGAGATTGAAATACATTACGATGAATGGATAAAACGTGAGCAAAAACGCACATCAAGCGTTTCCATTGAAGTCTATGGGGCCAAACGCACTGTAATCTGCCAAAAAAAGCTCATGTATTTTTTTGCAGCGTTTGGCATTATACAGCTTATGACAAAACTCTCAGCTGTCATCAGGGGCCCATTGAAATTAATGGGATTTTTGTGTTGAGATTAGGTGGGAACAGGGACTTAATGCCGTACCTTCCTCTCGCAGTCTTAGTACTGCTATACAAAGGAAAACATGAGGTTGAAAACATGTCAAAGTCAGATATCCTTACTAGTTGCGTTTAAAATAAATTTTTGTTAAATACATAACCACATTATTTTGTGTTTTTTGTATATCTGCCTCGATTTCAGCTTTAATGTATACATTTCTGAACAAAGTGTATATTCTGGATATGCAGTTTAGTAGGATATTTGATGATTTTGACCTACACATAACACGGGTGCATAACATGTACCTCAGGACAGCATCTATGGGGTCTGTATTTAAGTTAGTTTAGAATCAGATGCGCTATTTCAGGATTTTAATGTGAACAAACAAGCATGTGGGGGCCCAAAAACAAAGTTGACTGAGCTACTGCAACACAGGACAAAGGATTAATTGTTTATGTCCCAAGAAGGACATTTGGGCATATAGAGACTTAAGCATCACTGCACCAAAGCTGTTTCTATATTCTTACTGATGAACATGAGAATTCTGCAACATATTTAGACATGATATAATATTGGGGTACTGTGGGATTTAAATTATGCAGATTTAGTTTGGCCTTGCACAAGGTTCTTTTAGTGATCTAGATAAGCATGTTAATTTATAAAAAGAAACAAAAACGGGGGTATAAATGGGTCAGTTACCAACTTCTCACAGCAGATATCTCCCTGCATCTAAAATGTTATATC